AAGTCTTAAAAATGGATATGATAATACAATATTAAAAGATTAGGAGAATTGTGAAAATTAAATGCTGATTTTATCCTTATTTTTTTCTTTCTCCTTTTTTTTTTAAACTTCCCTGCTATTGCAAATGGTTCTTGGAGTAAAATCATTGCATAGGTAGCTGTAGGTCTGTATTACTATAAAAATGCAGAAGCAGGCTGCTGGGTTCAAATCCCTTCTAACATTGGCTGAGAATATCCCATGGCAGTCCCTGTGTCAGACAATATGTCTCTTACTGGGAGTCTGGGAAGCTCAAAGCATGAGTCTGTAAGGTACACCAATACTCCTAGATAAAAGTTGTCTAGAAAAAATATTTTTAAAGTACTGTTATTTGCATTGGAGGGAATACAACTAGAACTAGAAGCCAGCAAGTAAAATCTCAATTTCCTAGAGTTAAATACTGATTTTAACTTGTATCTACGTGTGAGCTGTAGCCTGTGCTGCCCCTAAATCAGGCAGCAGAGCTAACTCATCATGCAAAGCTCAGTGAGGTGCAGGGAACTGGAGGTCATTGCTCTCACGCTAGAGTTTTCTACCAGTAACTCTGCTCTGGTGAGTTTCCCAATCTTCAAAATACACTTTTTTAAAAGAGCAAGTTAATTCTTAGGCTGCACCCGGCAAACCTAAGAAAACCAAGCACTGTCTGTGCTGAAACTATTGCCTGTTGCTGCTCCAGAAGGGAAGGGAGGGAGCTGCTGTGTGGGAGGAAAGAGCATGGGAAAAGCATCCGCTGGATGAAGATCTGGAGCTTCCTATTCCCTCTTTGGATTAGGCTGCAGCCTCCACCCCTCCAAACACAGGCAGGAATTCTGAGGAGTTCCTTACATCTTTCCCAAACAAGAAAGTGCTTTGAAGATCCTGATGCTCACCCAGTGTTAAACCACTGCCTTTTTTATGGCCCTTCAACAGCTGCCAGGACACCAGGGCTGAATTTCAAAAGTCAACCTCCTTCTCAGCTGCTTCTTCCTTTCCAGTCGCCAATAGAAATCCCTGTCTCATCCCCCATGTCTGCCTCAGCTATGGGCTGAACCTTGTAATTCACAGAGGCAATAGGGTGCGTGAGACACGAGCTTTTAAACAAAATCCATTTAGGAGGGCTGTTTGCAGAAGAACTTTCCTGCCGTAACTGGTCCACTTTCAGTATGACCTCTTATAACGCTGCTTTGGAGGTGATTCAGCAATGCCTCATTTCAGTTGCAAGCTTGAGAAGAAACAGCCTTAAGAGCTAGACAGCCTGATAGAGAGGCTCCACGTTGCAAAAGCTCACAGAGGGTCATAAAAGTGACATTATCAATTCCTCTTCAAAGGAGGAAAAGTCTCAAGGGGAAAGCAGCTACAGCGTGGTTGCTCTTACTATTAACACAGTATGCTGCCACAAGAGCAAGTTACAATGTATGTTCCTGCAGTTCCTGCAGTTAGTCCTGAGTGAGAGTCAAGCACAGAGTTATGGGACAAATATTAACACCCAGAGAAGGGCATAACCATTCCACTCTGCAAAAGCAGCTCCTCTTGGCTGTGTGACCCCAAGCACTTAGCTCTGACAAAGCCTCGCTACACCCTTGGGATTTAGCTTCCATTTCACTTCAACAGAAAATCCTAAACTGGGAAGAGCTTCCTACTTCTAATTTGGTGTCTGTAAGAAACAAAGACAAATTGCAAAGCAGAGCAGCTGTGAGAAAAGGTCACTGTGCTTTGGCTCTCAACAAATTGTGCCACACGGACGTTTCGTGCACAGCCTATCAGCCATAAGGACACATCCAAACACTCCTATGTGGGGCCCAAACTCCTTCATGCCACTTACTGGCTGCAAACTAAATCTCCTTCATTTGCTTGACACACCACCTGCACCCCATATGTTAACGCTGCTGTCAATATTTCCAATTCCCCATATAACTATTTAATAATAATTAAATAAAAACACAGACTGGTTGCAGGTTCAGTACTATTTTTAAAAGCCTCCAGAGCCAGAAAAGCACAGCTTACAAACAGTCAGATGCTGCCAAGTGGCTCTTGCATGGTCCTAATGCCTGCCATGTCCTTGACACACAAATACAACCATTCCCAAACCTCAAAGTAAAATGATCTTACTTCAGAGGCTTTTCCTCTCCATTATTTTCTCCCACTGGGAACCTGTCTGCAGTAGAAATGATTAAGACTGGCCTGGACCTTCCATTTATACACGAAGAACCTGTTTCCTGCTGACAAGGAAGACAAGAGATTGCAATGCTATCCCAGATGCACGGCACTCAGGTACCTCCACGTACTGGGTGAAATTCAGGCCATTCTTAGAAATCTGACAACAATGCTGCTTAATCCAGTTGAAGCAGGCTCTGCCCTCAAACCCTTATTCCCACCCTCATCACTCTTCCATTACAGAGACCACAGAAGTGTTTATTTACTGCTCAGTGAGCCAGGTCAGTGAAATGATCTGACTAAAAAATATATTAGACAAAAATAATGTTGTTTTTCCAGCTGGAATCTGGCTGCACAGCCAGCAATGCCAACACAAAAGAAGGGACAATACACAGATATAAATGAGCAGCAGAGGACGGGAAGGACTGAAAAAGCTAGCACAGAATACACATCAAATTACATCTTCCCTTATAGCCCTTCTAGTTTGCTCCTTAGTCCTAAATCCAACTGATAAAACAAAAAACAAAACCAAAATTATTCTAATTAAGAAAAAGATGTAGACTGCACAGAAAGCATCCAGAACAAAGATTTGGAATGGGGCTGTGCACTGGAGGAAACAACAAGACAATAAGCAATCAAAACTTATAAGGAGTACAAAAAACTGATTAAAATCCCTGCTATTTGTATTCTGACAACTACAGTACGGATCATTGTGTCTTGGGTCTTCTGTAGTAAATTTAGAAATTGCTCAGAGTGGCAAATCACTCTCCTTCCAAAGCAAGTTTATGCTGGATCTCATCACACTCCATATTTCTTGTTCAGCTGGTCGCTGTGGAAACGTTTTTGGAGCGTGCCAGGAGTCACGTAGCATCTACCTGGGGAGCCCCTGCATTAATCCGTCACCTTCGTGGGCTTCTCTGAGCCCATTGGCTGGTAAGAAGAAAAAGGAGTCTCTCGCCCCTCCCTGCTCCAAATGAAAGACGCTTCCTCTAAATCTTGCTACAGGATTTCAGGCTCAATTCAGCTTCTTTGGGGCCTTTGTCACCAAACAAATGTGATGTCTTTGAAAGAAAGATTAACAGTTTGATGAAAGGATGCAATGGACAGCTTTGTTCTAGCCTGCTTCCCCCTAGAGCTTTCGGTCACTGTCACTTTCTTACCCACGGGAGAATATCTGTCTGACTCTCAGAGGAGATTATGGCCACCTTGTAAGATTTTTACTCTCCTGGTAACAAAGCACTGGCCACTTTGAGGAGGTGATAATGATGAACAGGGGCTGGATTAGGGGCAAAGAACCTCACATTGATCTCTGAATTCTGAGAGAACACAAAGCAGTCGATGCTGGTATTCAAAACCCACCGAATGCTTAGAGCACATCCAATTTGCTCTCCTGCAGGAGGGGCAAGGCCACAAGCCCTGTCAGTCCCCCAGTTGTACTTCCTACCTCATCATCAAATTAGCAGGGCTAGTTAAAAGAACTTGGAATGAGGAACAGATGGCACAGATTATAAACTGTTGATGTTTTCATACTAAACTAGATATGAATTCTGGACCAAATTACCCCAAGAGTTACTGTTTTCTGAGAAGACTGTCCCATGGAGCATATCCACACAGCACAGTGCAGTGTTGATACTCAAGCTAATTCTGAACACTAAAGATGGCTGAGCATTTTTCAATGCCTGGGATAGCCTAGCCATCTCTGCACAGCACAACTGCTTTACAAATATACCCATAGATGAACTGTCCCTTGTCCTTCTCCCTCCACACACAGCCACACACCCCTTCAGCATGCACAATTTCCATCCATATGATATTTGTGTACAGTGAAATAAGACAATGCCCACTCGACTTCCTCCCTGCAAGAGCTCCGTGGCCAAAGGAGCAGCAAACAGCAAAGCAAAGCTGTATTTCGGGCTGGCACCAATGCCAACGGCTGCACAGGCAGGAGCTGCCACTCGTTACGTGGAGCCCCTTCAGAGACAGATCACTCCTAGCAAAAGCTGACCTCGTTCTGACTTCAGTGACACACAGCCTGTCCTAGGATTTCCCCCACAAGTAATTTTTCATTGTTCCCTAGAGAAAGGGTTAGGCCAAGGCTGACTGATGTGGTGATAAAACTACAACTTCTGGTTCTATGAGGCTTTACCAGCATTTCCCATCAGTTCAGCAAGAAGTTCATCTCCTTTTCATGTCCAACGAACCCCGAGCTGAAATGGAGACAGGGTGGGTCATGATTTCTTTCACTGAGGAGAAAAAAAACTTCAAATACAATCCTTGGATACTAGCTGCGAAGACTCTGCTTCTGTCCTCATTCTTTCACTACAGCAGTCAGAAGGGCAAAGGACTCCACCACAGCTCTCAGTTGACAGGCAGCCCTACTCCGATATAAACTGGTCCAAGATCTCTGATTAAACAAGACCCCTGAGGTGATACAGAGCTAGGACCCAAAAGCAGTGAATGCACTGCTCTATTAACCATAGACACAAAGCCCAAGGAAAGCAGACTCCTTTCCAGAAATCAAGGCAGACCATGATCAGCCAGTCAAAAGCTATAATACTGGCTGGCTCTGGAGTCCTCCTGCTGTGCTCCCACGTGAGAGGTTCCAATCTGATCTTGAACTCCTGAGCTGGCAGCACCCCAGCTTCTAGGAGTGACATATTGTCTTGTTTCCAGGTAACTCTCTTGGGTCACCACAGCAATGGCTTTAACAGCCTCTAAAGCTTCCCAGTCCACACAACGCTAGCAAAAATGAAGAGTGCCTCTACTTTTGAAGTATGTAGGGGACACACTTATGTATTTGTGCATGTCCATTGCATGCTTGTGATTGCTAATGATGCTAAGAAAGCTACTGAAAAACCCAGTGACAATTCCAGAAATTGCCTAGGTTTGGAAGGGAGAGAGTATCTTCCCTATACCTGCAGTGCAGGAGGCCAGTATATCATACACAGTCCAGAAACTCAGGCCATACCTTCTCGGTTTGATGCTGCTCTTGGTGCTTTTCTTTCTGTTTTACTTTTCTGTGGTTTCCTTTCTGAGCTCACTGACATTGCTGGCACCATAGTGCACCCTGCTGGAAGATAGCAGCTAGAGCCATCATGAAATTATTTCTAGGGATGGCCGACTTCAGTTTTAAGAGAGAATTCCAGGTGCCAATGCTTTTACTAATAACCCACTGGGCCAGGTTCTGGGTTCACTTTTCGGATCTGAAATCCGACTGTTGTCAGGCACACACTAATCTGTTCTTCTCTAACACTGTTCTAAGGCTTGTTTGTCAAAACCACTTGTATAAATGCCAGGTAATTCCATGAGATTACTGTAGTTCAGTTTCACACACACACCAAGCCCTAGGACAAATCCAACGAGGAATGAGGATAGCTGTGAGCCATGCTAGATATTTCAGTCTACATTTTGGTTACCTCTTTTTATCCTTGCAGACATGAAGCACTGCCCTCTCATTTATTATGAGTCTTTTAGTTTGGATTTCAGCGAGACAGCTTGAAAAGCCTTGTCCCCGTGTGGCTCTTGGCAGGCTAAGAAGTAAAGTGCTCTTGCTCTCGGCTTTCACAGAGCTGGGGAGGTGCTGCTTATTGTTAAGCAATGAAAGGGGAGGGCTCAGGTCACATCTGTGAAATGTTAGCAGAGAAGGGAGGCTGGGTGAAAGTAGGTGGCCAGCACAGCATAGCACTTTGCTGGATTTTGCAAGGCCACTGGGGAGATAGGCAGCCATTTGTCTTACAGCCCTGATAACGGGCCCTTGCGCTCTGCTGGCGGGCTGGGGCTGTAAATACCTCTGCAGACACAGGCTCTTCAAATGGCTGGAGTCCGAGGCTGATAGGGGATTAATCGCCTTGAAGGCTGGGGAGGAAGGGGGAAGGGCCGAAAGGGAGTTAATTAGCTGTGTTAATGCGTGGAGATAAAGCAGGGTTTTGCCTCCTGGTTTTGTTCCATCCTGCACCCGGGCTTTTGGGACAGCCAAGTGGGGCTGCCAAAATGGCCTTTGAGAGTGTCCACGGAGACTATCTCCCACTTAGAAATGCAACCCCTCCATCTTCAAGGGCCCATTAAGCACCAGCTTTTGCTAAACCGATAAAGAGTGTGCCAATGAAGCTTAGAGGACAGAAGGTTAGCATTCTAACTCACACTACTGTTCAGCAAGTTTACAGAAAGGCTAGTGCCCAAAGTATTCAGCCAAGGAAAAGGCCACAAATCCCTTTGTAATGCTGTATGAGGAATGCTCCAAAACCACTGTACTTTCAGATGAAGAAATAGAGCTACAGACCAAGTGGCTATCACTTCCTCCACAGTCAAAATGGTAAAGGAGGTGAAATGATCTTCTGTCTAAGCACTTGTCTTCTAATTTAATCTTAAACAGCAAGTAGACAAGACTCACTGTGATGCATCCTGCCACTGTATACCCATTTAGATTGATGCTATAAAATTTCTCCTGGCATTAGAGTCAGCAATTACATCTGAAGGGTCTCAGCTCCCCAGATTAACATTCACAACTGACAGCAGCAAATCAGCAAACTCTTTAGTCCTCTTTTGAGCCCTCATGCATCGAAATTCAGAAAGCAGAGTCACTGTTTCAGGAACCCATTGTCACCATTGTGTTATTGTCACTGACAGTGAAGAAGCCCAAGCTGAACATCACTCTCCATGGTTGTCATCAAGTTTATGGCCAGGCATACCAGGAATCTGGACTCCTACATACCATTAAAACTCTGCCCATTAAACTGAACTCAGTTACTCATGTCTGGGACTATCAACTTATATTTTCATTTGGCTGAAACACCGTTTCCAGGAAGATATCCAGCATGATGTTAAGATGCCAAGAGACAGGCTCATCTATTACCCTTGCTAGCTGGTAATAATTTCATTGTTAAAAATTTTATCTAATTGTTCATTTTAGGTTTTCTGGCTATAATATTTAGCTGCTGATCCCTGTTATGCCTTTCTCTGCTATAATAATTAGATCTTCAGTACCCAATACTGAAACTCCACAGAGCATTTACACAGTGCAATACAGCCGTTCTCGTGGTCTTTTCTGCAAGATAAAGATTGAACTGTTTGTGTCTCTCACCAGCCCTTGAATCATTTTATGTCTCTTTTCTGCAACTCTCCGGTTTTGCAATGTGCAGTAATCCAGTCCTGATTCCACTAACACTATATGCAGAAATACAGTCACCTCCCTGTTCCTCTTTGCTACGCCCTTGTTTATGTATCTGCAGATCAAATTAACCATTTATGTCTCAGGATCAGACTGGGACCTGATGTTCAGTGGGTTGTGCCTGGATTTCTTTTAAGAGCTACAGCTTCCAGAATATAAATCTAAAAATCTGGCTTCCAGTCCTTACCTGTACATATGTGACTTTGCAGGTAGCTACATCTAGATCTCTGTATCTATCCTACCTTTGTCATTATTTCTCTCTCCATCAGTCCTTTACTTCTAGATCATTTGTAAGTAAGTTGAAGAATATCAATACTGGCACTGGTCCCAGCTGAAGCCCCTTCTGACCCCTTCCAGAAATACACCCATTTGGTGATTTCTGAATCTCAACTACTAAAGAAGATGAAGTTTAGGGGGGAAATTCTGCAATGCTGGGATTTATTAAAGGTTAGTATGCCCCAAGTCTCCTGAGATAATGATTTCAGAAGTAACTAATTTGACTGCCATTTTAATTCTTTTGACTCACAGGCGAGGTTGTTTAACTCTTCCCTCTCTTAGCAAACAGTCTGAAAGCTGTCTGAAAAAGTATTTTATTGTCTTTGTTTAATGTGAGTCCATATTCTTTACAAAAACAAACCAGAAAAAAATATTGAGGACTTATGCCCTTGCACATTCTTACCAGCCTTTTTACCGTCACCATTTAGTGACAGTTTCCAATAGCATTACTATGCTTTCTTTTCTTCTCAATATAGTTGAAATAAATCTGTCTTACCGTTGTCATGGACTACTCCAGGTTATTCTGGCTCCCTTTGTCATTTTCTACTCATTATAAATTCCAATTTATATCATTGTCATTAATTGTTCCAAACTTTCTGCATTTCCTTTCATGTGTCTTTTTAAATTCTAATTTCTGCTCCTATTCTACAAGTGAACTGTGGTAGGCTTTCAGCCAAAACCAGCTATTTATTGACTGGTAGTCATGGCTTTTGAAGAAAGTCTTCTCGTATAAAACCTAATTCCACTCATATCTTTTCCTATCTAGACATACCTCCCCACCCACATCAGTTTTTAACAGTGTCCTGTTGGCATCCCTTCTCTCCATATCAAAGTGATCTGAGTCAGTAATCTGTAACAAACCCTCAGAGTCAAGTTAATGCTTTTCTGAACTGTAGTTTGAAAGTGCCAAAGAACTGCATTCTCCACCCCTGTCTCACATCCTCCCAAGCTTTCCCCTCTACACTAGTACCTCAGGCTTTGTCTCACCCCCTTTCTTTAACCTTGTGGAATGGAACACAGTCTGATCTGATACCACGGTCACAGTAAAATCAACCTTCACCCTCTATTTTCACTTTCCCCATCATGTCAATGCCTGACAAGTGACTGTTATTTCGTATCTCCACAACATTAGGTCATCAAGTGAAAATACTGTAGGCATGATAGGAATTATTGCTGTTTGCTTTGCCATTCCATTATCCACAAGCAGATGTAAAATTGCCACAAGCCTAGTTCCTGAAATAGTATGTTTAGGGTTCCAAATTGCATGCAGCAGAGAGGACCATGCTGGCAACATGCCAGCAGCTGAAAGGCCACATCTAATTGTGCATAAAGTTGAGCAGATTGTCTGCTTAGACTAGAGCAAACAAGCTTATCTTTAATGCAGACATATGGCCAGCAAAACCTACAGATCCCAACATGCAACGTCCTGGCCAGCTGGCCACTTGGATCAGAATGAAGCTTTACATGATCTGATACTGTAGTGTCAGAAGATCAGCATTGCAACCCCTTCACGTTCATGCTTTTGAGGCAAGACACTTTTCTCTACAATCATTTTTAAAAATGTATTTTTTAATAAAAGCTAAGTCACACCATCACTTGTCTGTGGGAGCTGAGACATCAAGAATAAACAGACAGACCCACTGAATGATTAAAGGAGGAGCATCGATATATTCTGAACTCTTAAAAGTGTACAGATAACCTGATAGATAGACACACAGACAGAATTTGGAACCTGCAAACACCGCAGATATCACTGGTAAAGATAAGGATGGCAGACAGTTTTGTTAAAAACCTCCAGGTTTTCCAGTTTTGCACTAAACTCTGCTTTTACCATTGTTGCCTTTATTCAACCCACTTTTAACTTCCTTTCTTCCCACTTCTCAGCTGTCATATAAAATGTTCTCTCTGCCTCCAACTTTCCATTCTGTAAGACACCTCTGCTCTCCTAGTAATGATACACCATACATTTTATGACAGTTACCCCCTTGACAGCCATCACAGATGCTAAGTCTCCAATTAATAGAGAAAACTATTCAACAGAGTTCTTACTCTAAGACAGGTTAAAATCAGCCCTGAATCTCTCAGTCCTGTTCTTTAGGTCTTTTAAAATGTAGGGGAATTCCAGCTATTGCAGGCTGGGAACATCACTCCCATGTTGCATATCCACAGTCCACTTCTTGTGTATTTGTTGAGGACAGAGACAATTCTGGCTTCAGTCACAATTGTAGATGCAGTAAGTTTGGCAATTCCTACTTCTGACAGTAACTGCTCCAGAGAGGATCTAACCAGGAAAGGCAAGAAAAACTTCAGGTCAAAATGAGGGGATTTGCCAGAACTATGAACAACACATCATGAAATAGAAAAATCACTGCCTGCTTTTTCTGCTCTGTCAGAACCAACATGCAAAGATGAAGGAAAGTAATCCAAGAACCAGACTTTGAGTGCCTCACAACCAGGAGTGAGTGACTTTGGCAGAGCCATGCTGGTAAAATCAGCAGAAAGCCTGTCTCTGCCCTCTGTTCTTTCCCTACACACACACATTTTCACAAGCAACCAGTACTTTTAGGCAACCTGAATGCTTGTTAAAGAAGGGTGAGTTGATCTTTCTTTAATGTCAGAGCTCCTATCTGCATGTGATAGAGTGCAATTAGAGAAGATACATGCTTTGCTGATCCTGTAACAAATTCCTGTCTTACTTCCTTCACCTGACAAGCTTATTCCATTAATCCCCAGGTTCAGTCCAAAAAGGAGCAGGACAGAACAACCAGAGCTGCACTGGCACCATGATGAATCTTTTCCATTAAGAAACACTCAGCTGCACTTGAGCTCAGGTAGTCTCTGAGAGGAAGATTTTTTTGAGAAGACGGATAGATCTGTGCTAACAGCAACACCCTCCTGGGAAGGGAGCGAAGGTTCATGCTTACATAGATCTCAGGTTGCCACAGGAAGACAAATGCAACAATGGCACAGTTGAGCCCCACTTTCTATCAGCCACTGGGTAAAATAAAGCTACAAGTCAAATTTAATTTGAAGACTTCAACAAAACCGTCATTGGCGTGTCTAACACATAACATGTATCCCTACCAAAAGAGAGAGAGGAAATAAAGGGGGGAGCAGGGGGAAGGCAAACAATAGCAACACCTGAACTACCATACAAAAGAGCAGCTAAAATTTTCTTTGGAGATACTGAGGAACTAATTCCCCTTGCAGTACTCCTTTGAGTCAAAAAGGTCACCTCAGTGAGCCACTCTACGTAAAAATGTGTAGTCTCTCCAGACTACACCTCTGGAAAATGATTGTATCAAGGACACTCCCAGTAAATTGAATAGTGGTTTACATTTTAGTGGTTTATGCTCTGTACAGTCAAAAGTGTTCAGAATTCAGGCAGAAGCTCACTAGGTTTATTCTCAATTCTTTTTTGCCAAAGGGAAGATTGTAATGGGGGATTAACCTTTAAGGGGGGAGCAGGGAAGAGAGAGAGGAGGAGAGAGAGATTGCCTGAAAAGCTATTTACAATACTGGCAATTCACTGTCCCTCCACTCAGTTCCATCTGGCACAGGTCATCTGCTATCCTATCCTACTACTCCAGGATAGGAGTAAAATAGAAAACCTAAAGTTCTGAATGTGTCCGTAGAATCTTCCTAGACAGCAGGATGTACAAACACTTGGTCCAATGCAAAAAAAAAAAAAGTGCAGCACATCAGCAAAAAGCAGTTAGAAACAAATAACAAGCCATTCCCATCTCTTCAGAGAAATATCCTGCCAGAAGAATCCCTGGAAGAGGCTTTAAATATATTTCATGGTTGTCCAGCAGAACAGTGGAGTTGTGAACTGAAAACACATTCCAGTATGCTATCATTTTTTCTCCTTCCACAATTTATAATCCCACCAGAGTACAGACTATTCCACACTACAGCATTTCTAACAGTTTATCAAATGAACTTTTGAATGCAGCCTCTCAGAGATACCAGCTTGGTGTTAATGAGAGTCCATTAAGATAAAGAAGAGCAATACTGGGTGGGACAAGAGGTGTGAAATACTTTAAACCAAATAAATTCCCTCTATCACAGGTGGAGTTATCTCTCCCCATAGGGATACCAGTTTGTCTCCTGGCTTTACAGAAGTCAGGAGAGAATAGGACACTGAGGCAGAGGGGTTAAAACTGCTGGTGTGATCAGGTGTGTTGTGAGGATGTGACAGCCCTAGCACACTTACATCTTACTATTGTAAGAATTAGAATTGCTTAGAATGGGAATTAACTACAATATTTACTAAAGGCTAAAGTTCTTTTACAGATTCACAGAAGCTTCTCCCAGGCATATCACCTATATAGTAATCCAAACCAGTAACCTCGGTGTTTCCTAGAATACTCAAACTGCCTTCCCTTTTATTGCATCTGTTGATTTTCCTCCCTTTACCTTTTGGGATATCATGCTCCAAAGAATCTAGAAAGTCAATGGATGGGTCCAGGTTAGCCTTTTCCAGCAGGGTTTTATTCTTCAGGTTAACAGGCTCAGTGAAATGGAAATAGGAACTTAACTTTTTTGCCTCCACCAAAGACAGACCTGCAAAGAGCCATTGGTGACCATTAATACAGTGAACTATGATAACGTTCATTATGCCATCAGGTATAACATTGTTTCTCTAATGCCCACAGCACAGGCCAAAATCACAATCTTTCTCCAGTAGACTCTGCAGAAGACCACAGGCTTCTCAGAAGGAGGTGTCAGCACTCCCTGATGCTGTGCACTGCAGACCATACTGACTGTAGTCCAGATAAGCAATGGGCACCAAATTGCTAAACATTGACATAAACTACAGTTTTATACAGACATATGAAACTACAGGTTTAATGACTCAGAGCCATTACCGATTCTCCTCTCACTGTCCATAGTTGAATCATGCACCTGACACAAGTGGCACTAGATTCTCTCCTCCCTGTTCCATCTTACCCACGAAAAAAAAAAAACAAACCAAAAACCCAACAACAAAAAAACCCCCCACAAACCTGAAACCCAAACATCAGCTGGAGAAAGTCATCTTAATTTACAGCCTTTATGATACTACAGTTGATACTGATAATGACAATGAGAATTTACCTTCAAAGTGTCTGTTTTCATGCACGGACCCAAGAGGAGTCTTCACAAATGCCCCCCGGGGGACGATACCAACTGCTCTGTCTATCAGTTCTATCGTAGCTATGAGGCGGGCCTCCTCCTTGATCACGGGCTTTAACGAAAAATATGGAAAATTTAAAGGCAGGGATTTCGTTGTTTTCGTTTCTGAAAATAAACTGGAGGTGACAGTAGAAACCACAATGGACTCGTCAGCTTGAAGCCCAATGGCACTAAGACGAGAACAACAAATCAGAGGCTTTTTCTCATAAAATATGACAGAAAATTTGACTAGGGGCAGAGAATTTAGATTCACCAGAGAGCTAACTATCCCTCTCTGGATCCATTCTTTCCTCCCTCTCAATTAAGCTACTTATGACTTGTCGCTTCATTTATAAAGAATGGTGCCTGCAGTTACTATTAAAGCTTCAGAAACTGAAGTGAGAATCTGTACCAATTGCGCATAATAAAGCATAAGAAATATATACTATTTCTGAGCCCTGTAGAACTCCAGGAATAACTGAAGTAAGGTTTCAATCAAGAAGTTGTTGCTACACATTGATAAAGAAGAGGAAATTGTGCATCTTCTGCCTGACCGCAGGTTCGGGCTGATAATTACAAGCAAGGAGGAGGAGCCACCACCTGTCGTGAGTGGCATGACCGTAGCCAAGAGAGTTGGAAAGTGTTTAGCTGTGTTTACCTCCTTACCACCTTCAAACAATTTCTCAGCAGCTTGTGGGTTTATCTCGGCGAAGTTGTACTCGAAAGAAGGATCCCCCTGAAAGCGGCCCTTCAGCTGCTCGGCCTGCGCAACCATCTCCTTGGTCGGCGGTACCAGGAGGCTCCAGTCCAAGCAGTTCAAGCTGCCAACGACAAGCAGGACCTGCCGAGCCCATTAACGAACAGGCCGCTCCGGGCACGGAGAGGCTCCCTCCAGGAGATCCTGACGGCACCCCCCGATTCCCTCCTCTCCCCACCGCCCCAAACGGCAGACCCCCAGGCCCCAGCTGCCCAGGGCGGTCCCCGCACCTGTAGAGGCGGATGCGGGGCGCGGCGCGGTTGGGGCGCAGCCCCTCGGCGATGTAGTAGGCGCCGCGCACGCCCTGGATGCAGCCCCAGAACCAGACCCGCTCGAAGCGGTAGTCGCGCTGCAGCAGCGGCAGCGACAGCCCCAGCGCCGCCCGCTTCTCCGGGCTGAGCCCCACGCCGCCGCCCGCCACCAGCGCCAGCGCCGCGGGCAGCGACTGCGCCTCCATGGCCGCCCCGTTGCCGGGAGACCGCCCGCCCGCCCCGGGCCGCGGCGGGGAGGCCGAGCGACGGCTGCGGGTCACGCCGGGCCTCCGCCAGCGAGGAGAGAGCAGGCAGCGCCCTGGCAGCCTGCGGGCAGCTGCCTGTGCCGGCCCCGTGCACAGCTAACCCCGCCCGGCACCCAGAGATGCTGCTAAGCACGGTAAGGATGCAGCCAGGGATGGCAGGCTGCACACGCCGTTCCTCGGTTTCAAGAGGCCTACACCCAAAGCGGAGTCCACAAAGCAGGAGAGCATACAACTGCATTGCACCTTCGCTAGGATACCACATTTTCCTAGTTTCTTACATGAACAACAGAAAGAAAAAACAAAAACAAAAACCAACAAACAAAAATAAACAAAAAAACCCACAAACAAAAACAACAAAAAAACCAAACCAAAACAACAAAAAAAAACAAACCAAAACAAAAAACCACACCTGCTGAAGCTTCACTGCTTACAGTGCCATTCTTACAGATCCAGAGGAGGGCCGCGAAGTTGATAAGAGGACTGCAGCACCTCCCCAGTGAAGACAGGGCCCCGTTCAGCCTGGAGAAGAGAAGGTTGCCTGGAGACCTCATAGCAACCTTCCAGTATTTGAATGCGGCCTACGGGGCAGCCAGAGAGGGACTTTTCGTCAGGAACTGCAGTGATAGGACAAGGAGTAATGGGTACAAAGTGAAAGAGGGGAAATTTCGGTTAGATAGTAGGAGGACATTTTTTACTGTGAGGGTGGTGAGACGCTAGAACAGGTTGCCCAGGGAGGTTGTGGATGCCCCAAATCTGGCAGTATTCAAAGCCAGGTCAGATAAGGCTTTGAGCAACCTGGCCATGGCAGGCAGAGTTGCTCCATTCCAATCCCTTAACGTTCTTTGATTCTGTGATCTTATCTACCTCATATACCTCTATAAATAAATGGCTTATTTATAAATGACTGCATTTAGATTGTTCCTTGGCAGCTCCTTTTGCTGAATCACATACAGACAGACATCCAGGAAACAGCTCCTGCCCTAAAAATCTTGCAGTCTGGCTTAACACAAAATGCAATAAATAAGTAATGAGATTGTGCAGCTGCTTAGACAAATAGAATTTCTGTTTGACGTCTTCAGGAAGTTTAAGCTTTTATATGTGTGCATTATATAAATAAATATGTGTATGCACTTACATTTAAATCCATTGTCAAGTCATAAATTCTTTCTTTTTCATCAATTTCCTGTTAACTTCTAAGGAAAACACTGGTCCTGGGACCACTGCCTGTAACAGTTGTCACCTGGGGATTTTTGTCAAGTGAGATGTTTAATGAGCTTTACAGCACACAATCTAACCCATTAGCTTTACTTATGCTGTAGAAAAGGCAACTCAGGTTCCTGAAGGTTAACCACCTCTCTTTGACATGAATCAGGCAGAACATGTAGGAGTGACCATAGACTTTTGGTCCATGCTGTCACTTACCTGTACCATACTGTGATTTGCTCAATGGAATAGGAATTTTTAGCCTTTGTAGGCTCATTAATCACTGATTTCTCTAGAACCGTGTGTTAATATTTTGTGTTAGGCTATGATCTGACCAGTAACAGCAGAATTGCAGACCAAACTCATTTCACATAAGTCAGAGAGGCAACCCAAGACCATAATGAATTTCTGCCACTGTCAACCACAGCTGGATTCAAACCAGATGCTAACAGCTGAGAGGCTCTTTAGCCTGTTATGGATCTTCTAAGCCACCCAGTCTCTAGTCTTTGCCTGTCCTGACTGAAGATTATCAAAAAGGAAATCTATAGCTTAAGGAAATTCTTCCTGGTTCAGTAAAGTCTGGTGGGTAACTGTACTCTGCTTTCCTTTGTCTTGACCCCAATTACTAAACACCGATAAGGATCGTGAAGTAAGTGGTTGCATTATTTAACAAATGAAAGGTCAAAAGCGCTGCTATTCAGTAAGGTCAAAGGTTACCATCACTGTTATTAAACAGTTTGAAAGCAGTTTCTCCCATTCCTCACCATCCCAAAGAAGGAGCTGCTCAGCAATCAGGCAGCCAGGAGGGAAGAGAGGCACCAGGCATCATTCAGCCAGCTGCTGACTAGGTGGCTTTCCTTGAACACCTGCTTCAGTGAGGGAAGGAGTCACAGCCCAGCAGCTCCCATCAGAGGACTGAGCTCTCCTGCCTCTGCACAGAACACTCACATACCTGCATGCCAAACAGCTTCAGCTCCTCCCAGCTCTGTCCTTTAGAGCTGGCATCCTTTTGGATGAGAAATCAAACTTGGGTTCTCTTCCACTCGCCTTGGGCAAGGTACAGAACATCAGAGCAGCATCAGAGTTAAACTATTTGTTTATGTAAATTGCTGCTGTGTGCACAGTGACTCGTGTATGCTTGCACAACTTCATAAAGCATTTGAAAATACTTCTAGTGATGTGGTAGGAAGTGAGCTCATCTTCCTTCATGTTATCCAGTATATCTTATCTCAAAAGAAACAAAAATAGATACCATTCCATGTCACTTCAATTTCTGCTGGTACAGATGGCTATCCTCAAAACACTCTTGCAGGACAACTGTTTCACTGTCCTGGGCATCCATTGGGCTGACCCTGATCACAGGTTATACTTCTATCCATCATCCACTTTTTCATGTTGTAGGGATAATCTGCAGCTGGTGCTGGTGCAGTAAAATATAGATAGGGGTCATTCCTCCCAGGTGTGTTGAATATAACGTCTGATTTTCCTACAAATTATCTCAAAAATTCAGACTGTCTCTGGCTTCAGAAACATTGCAGCTTTGAATCATTTCCCTGCATGTAAGTCATGACTGTATAAGGATAGTAAAAGATAGTAAACAAGAGAGAAAAGTACAGAGTTTTTCTGAATAAGGAAGGAGTGATAGATGGCTGCTTGTCAGAAGGGGAGGAGACTGTGGAAGACAAATAGCTGAACAAATTCAAGAACTGCAAAGTGAAGCCTTGAGCTATGCTGAGCAAAAAGTAAGGAACTAGAGCCAAGTAATGATTTAACAGCAACAGAAGGGATCAGAGGTGTCCCTACCTGATATAGTACAGACACTTTCCTCTCTCTTGGAAATTGTACTAAATATGGAAAAACTCTGGGAATACTTTGACTGCAAACTGTTCAAAGGAAAAGGATGTGGGGTTTTTGGCTTCCACAGGATCAATGCCATTTTCTCCATTATGAGACCTGAGTTAGCTGTGTGCAGTCATGAAGAGACTCGGAGAAGAAGGGGTGAAAGTGCAGTGTGTGCCATTGGCTGGACTCCCCCACTTCTGGAATTCACTCTGGAATAGCACTCCGTACTAAAGTAACAAATCAGCAAGAAATCAGGCTAGTAGGTCAGGTTGGGAACAGCTGTGCTAAAATATAGAGGAAATCTGCAGGATGACTGTGACAAGCCTTCCCTGGAGACTCTCTTTGGCATCATCCTGGGCAGGCAATATGCCCAAAAAAAGTGTTTATCCTGCCCTACTCAGGAAGAGACAGGCACAAGAGCCAAAGAGCTTTGTCATTTTGTGACATGAAGTTTTCTGTGTCTTTAACGTTTGTTCCATGCCTTTCATCACTTCCCTAATAGCACCTGTCATCTTGACTGCTCTTGGCACAGCAGGCAGGTAAAGAGTCTACTGGGGTAAGAAGTACCATTGTGCTGGTTATATCATCTTGCCTGGGCATTACATGAGTAGTTGTGATTCTTCTAGCTGGCAACTTGAACAGACATGTCTTGGCTGTTTTTCAGGTACCAAGAGGGGTGAGACGCAGCATTGTGACCTTGCACACACCATGCTGCCAGTCAGAGTGCCGACAGCCTGGGCAGGAAGATGCTGTTGAGGAACCCTGGGAAAGACGAAACAGAACAGTGAGAAACTGCTACGTCAGTGTAGTTCCGGCTGTGATTCGGCTTCAGGAGAATTTAATGCACTGGTGTAGGTGCTATTCACATTTCAGGCTGCCTGTTGCCCTGGTGTATTTGAACTAGGATTTAATAGAACAAATAACTAATACAGGGTTTTTCAGACATCCTACAAGGATAGGCACTGCATGAAAGATTGCTGAATTGTTTTGGTGATTCCCTGGAAGCAGCTTGCTGACGACGATCCGTGGTCTTGACGAGTTCAATTTTTAGGACTGACGCTCATCCTATCTCTACAAGAGATCTCAACAAAATGGTGGAAGAGCATGTGTTATGGAACAGGTACCTGAATGATTTAGGCTTTTCAGAGCCGTGATGAAGAACGCATATCACAGAGAGGAATGAATCAGAAACCATCAAGTACTCACAGTCTTGGTGTAACAAGGTTTAATCAACTTGTCCTTGGAAGAGAGCTCAGCAAGTCTGAAGCTTTCAGGTGGCTCCAGGCAGAATCTTTCTAAAGCATTTAAGCAAAGGAGCAACAGAAACCCAGGTTATGCCTGATGCATGTGGCAAACTGATGATGAGATGAGTGTTTCTGGCCTACCACTGAAGAGCCCAGAGTAGAAGTGGGGAAATGGATCCAGGGATGCTCTGGGATAAAAACAATTGACAGGGCAAATTTCTTGAACTAAAGATGACATTTTCAGAAAATATCTTCCTTATAATGCAACTTGTTTTTATCTAGGCAGAGTTTATTCCTGTTGGAGACAACTGAGTGTCTCTCTTTGCCAGATAGTCAGAGGCCACTGGCCTTTCCTCACGTCACTTTCTACAGTGATTGCTATTTTCAACATTTTTTTTTTCTCTCAGGAAAATACTTACCAGTATGAAATTTCTGCTCAGTCTCAGGCACCTGCTTAGGTCTATTAAACTTTAAAAATGTGTAGGAATCAGAGACCAACTGAGGTGGGGTGCATGGCTTCAGATAACTGTGCCCTCCAAGCATCCAGCATCCAGAGAGGAGTGTGCATCCCCTTCTTTGGGACACTGACTTTTGTCAGCGAAGCTCAGCCATCCCCTCAGCAAGCCTTTTGCCTTTGTATGGATTCACTCTCCCACCTGCTGCTGGATTACTTTGTTTTAAAAACCCA